TGCTGCTATCTATCTTTGATTGCTTAGGGGCTTTAGCCAAAAATCTGCCAAAGGGGGAGTTTGTAGTTGTTTAGTTATTGACATGCATTTTTGGTAAAACCAGGTGTGTGAATGTCATGACTGATGTCATAACATTCTAGTCTATTAGGTACTGATTTATTAGGTACCTTTGCAGAAAAATAATGTCATACAGGTGCTGCTGTTTATGAGTGTGTATATGAGCATTTTGCAAAATGATCACATTTACCAAAATCAGTAAACAGGAATTCAGATGTCATAACAAATGTTAAGACATCCTGTTCTGAACTAACAGTTATGCAGTTTGGTTAATTCTGAGTTTTTTCAGGAAAATGACTCAGTCTTTCCAGAACAGAATCTCTCGTGGTCTTGGGGTTAACCTAGCTCAACCCTAACCTGGTTGATAAAGTCTTGTGACCAAGTCTTAAGGTCAAACGGAATTAACCCTAGCTTTTTGTGGAAACCCTAACTGAAGAAGCAGCTGCTATATATTCAACAGGGCTGCTGTTTGGAATTTATCCCTTTTGACAGAAGATCATTTAGAATATGTATAGTTTTAACTATTGTAATCCAAGCAAGTATCATTGTGATAAGTGACTTGGAATAGGTTTTAATTGTAAGGGTTTTGTATCACTCAAAGCTTTGAAGCAAGAGTGTTTTGTGTCTCTTGACTAAAGCTTTGAAGCAAAGTCAAGTTAGGTTTATGTATCACTCAAAGCTGTGAAGCAAGAGTGTTTGTGTTGCTTGATTAAAAAAGCTGTGAAGCATAATCAAGTGTATGTTTTGAAGAGTGACTTCATTAAATCATTAGTCAATTGTTTTAAGTATCACTGCTGTGATTGAGGGGGAGTGAGTAGGAACTCAGGTTTAAGTTGTACTTAGATTGAAGTTGCATTGGGTAGGTCTTAAGTGAAGGAGATAAACTGGTTGGTTTATTCCTGAATTAATATCTCTTATAGTGGATTTTCTCCCTGGCTTGGTAGCCCCCAGAGTAGGTGTTGTTGCACACTGAACTGGGTAAACAATTGACTGTGTTCTTTACTGTTTTTGTATTTACTGTCTTATAGAAAGTCAGATACGGTGTCATAACATTGAACGTGACATTGAGTATCTGCAGCTAGAATTTCAAATCTACTCATTATACCTACTTTGTATCCTAGATCAGGCCTAGAGTGACAAAGGTATCTTAATGATCCAATAAGTTTTCTGTACTGTGTTGGATCGACATCATCTTCTTCTAAGTCTTTCGACAGTTGCAGTCTTGGTTCAACAAGTATCGAAGTTGCATTGCAGTCTTCCATCTCAAATCTTTTGATTATTTCACTTGCATATCTTCTTTGATGCATCATCAAGCATTTACTGCTCTCGTAGATTTCTATACCAAGGAAGTATGAAGTGTTGCCAATATCTAACATTTCAAACTCCTTGCTAAGATCACCTTTGAAGTCTTCGATCTCTTTCTTGCAACTACCTATTTTAACAAGTCATCGACATAGAGACGCAATATAAGCATCTCACATATGCTCCTTCCAATGTATACTCTATGCTCAATTGTGCACTTCACAAATTCCTTCTCTCTTAGGAAACTATATATCTTCCATCTCAAATCTTTTGAGTATTTCAACAAATATCAAAGTTGCATTGCAGTCTTCCATCTCAAATATTTTGAGTATTTCACTTTCATATCTTCTTTGATGCATCATCAAGAATTTCCTACTCTTGTAGATTTCGATACCAAGGAAGTATGAAGTGTTGCCCAAATCTGACATTTCAAACTCCTTGCTAAGATCACCTTTGAAGTCTTCGATCTTTTTCTTGCAACTACCTGTTTTAACAAGTCATCGACATAAAGACACAATATAAGCATCTCACATATGCTCCTTCCAATGTATACTCCATGCTCAGTTGTGCACTTCACAAATTCATTCTCTCTTAGGAAACTATATATCTTCTTATTTTAAGCCCTTGGAGCTTGTATAAGTCCATACAGGGCTTTATGCAGCCTGTATACCTTGCTTTCTTGGCTTTGTTTCACAAACCCAACTGGTTGTACAACATACACTTATTCATCTAATAGGCCATTTAGAAATGCACATTTCACATCTATCTGACACATATACCAGTTGTTCATGTTTGCTAGACCAATAACCAGTCTGATTGTTTCGATCCTAGCAAATGGTGCAAAAACTTCATCAAATTCGATTCCTTCTTTCTAAATAAATCCTTTCGCCACAAGTATTTCCTTGTGTCGAGTTACTTTTCCTTTAGGATTCAACTTCACCTTGTATATCCATTTTACATTGATTGCCTTCTTGCCTTGTGGTAATTCGACTAGTGATCAAGTTTTGTTGATTTCGATGGAATTCAGATCCTCATTCATCGCTTGCATCCACTTCGAGTCCTTCAATGCCTCAATTACATTGACTGTATCGGCATCTGCATAGAAAACATAGTGTACCAGCTCACCATCATTATTGACTGCATCATATGATGTAATCACACATTCCTGTAACCTTGCATACATGTTTCTTGTTCTTTGAGGTCTGCTTATGCCTGCTTGACCTCTGACCTCTTCTGGTCGAACTTCTCTTTCGACTTCACTAGCTGGTTCTTCACATAAGATTCTTACTGAATCCTTCTTAACATTTTCATTTCGGTCTCATTCCTTAACCTCATCTATGATCACGTCTCTGCTGGTCGCAACTTGCTTGTTCATTGAGTCAAATAACTTATATCCACCAGTTAAATGATATCCTATTAGGATCATCTGACTCGACTTGTTATTAATTTTTCTTCTCAACTGATCAAGAACATGTCTATGGGATATAGATAAAAATACCTTTAGATGACTTAAGATAGGCTTGACACCAGACCAACATTCTTCTGGTGTGATTAATTCTAGCTTCTTCGTTAAACATCCGTTCAGGATATATGTTGCATTCGACACAACTTCACCCAAAATATTTAGATAAATGCTTGCCTTTAAACACATTTCTCACCATGTTCATGATGGTTCTATTCTTTCTTTCTGTGTTCCATTTTGTTATGAAGTGTAGGGTGACACCACCTCATGCACAATATCTTCATTTTCACATAATGCATCGAAATCTTTTTGACACATATTCTCCACCACTATAAGTCCTAAGAGCCTTAAGCTTTCGACCACCTTGTCTCTCAATCATAGATTTAAACTTGGAAAATATCTTGATCACTTCACTTTTCTTCTTGATCATGTAAGTCCTTGATTTTCGACCGAAATCATTTATGAATGTGACAAAGTATCTATTACCTCCAATCAATTCCACCCGGATATGACCACTCACATCAGAATCTATAACTTCAAGAATTTCCTTCAACTTGCTTCATGCATCCTTGCTGAAGTTGTTCTTGTGTTGCCTTTCCTTCACACACTCTTCACACACTTCACTTAAAATGTTGAATTATAGTAATCTTGAACCCATATTTCCTCTTTTCAGATTTCAGATGTCATTGAAGTTGAGATGACTAAGTCTGTAGTGCCATAGACATTCATCTCTGCTAGCTGCAGTTTCCAGATACTTGTGCTCTATCACATTAATTTCAATATAGAAGGTTCTGTTTTGAGACATCTATAAGATTAATCTACCACTGGAGTTGAGAACTCTCATCATTCCATCTCCGATCGACACTTTGTAATTATTCTCGACCAATCATCCTATGCTAAACAAATTGCTTTTCATGCCTGGTATATACAATACATTGAAAATTACTGACCTTTTACCATCTTTCTTCATAATCATAACATCCCTAACACGTTGAGCAACTAGGGTGTTATCGTTTGCGAATTTCACTGTGTTCATCATTGAAGGACTCATGCTGACAAATCAATCTTTTCTACTAGTCATGTGTGATGAGCATCATAAATTCAAGTACCATTGGTCTTTGGACTTTTTTTCATCTCTCACTGCGGCCATCAACAACATTTCTTCTTCTTCATGTTTTGCAAGCCTTACAACTCATCAATAAAGCTTTGTCCATAACACCTTACTAAAAATTTAATTTTGTAATAACTTCTCTTCTTAGATAAAAATTTAAACAAATATCTAACTTAGCCTTTAAGTATCACTATTCTATTAATTTAGTTTATAAATTATTAAAATTTTAATAAAAAAATTCTTAAACTATTATTTTATCTAATTAATGAGTTAATCTAAAAGACTAAATAATTGAATAAAATAGTAATTTAAAGATATTTAAATCGAGTTCAATATTTTAAGATGAAATAAACTTAGAATCTAACTTTATATTTTATTCAAAAGAATCCTCCACAACATAACCTAGAATCATTTTTTAAAAATCGAATCAAATTGGCTGATCAAATTAAAAATCGTAGAAGTCACCTGTCTAGTCTGATTATTAGACCAAATAAATATTAATCTAATGAAAATCAATCAGAACCGACTAAAACAAACAAATAAAAATTAACAAAACGACGATTTTAAAAAACTGACGTACTAAATGATGTCATATGCTCTTGCTATTTTATCACATTAAATTAGATGACATTCAAATCAAATCTAATGATGTCTTTTTTCATGTTACAAAAACTTAAGCATCTCTTATATTCCTATTAATCTCTTTTCCCTTCACATTTGTTATACTTATTTTAATTTATGTACCAACTTTGAAATATATAGATTGAAATGCATTTATTTTTAAAAAGAGAAACAAATACCAAATATATATTTTGGCGGGACAATACCACACTTTTGTATTTTGTTCTATTGTCTGTTTTTGTTGTAATCCAACAAAAGTTTATTTTTTACATTAAGTTCTTGTTTTAGCATGCTATTACATCACGTTCCTAACTTTATACTCATTCATTTTTTCTTCCATCTTTCTCGGTTAGAAACATAGAAACACAAGCATTAATACAATCCAAAAGTTTTTTTCTTCTCTCCCTCTCACTGTTGTTGTGTTGTGTTGTGTTGTGTTGTGTTGTGATGGAAGGAGTTTCAAGTAGAACTCGTAGCAAGAACATTCCTCGCTCGCTTCATGGATCATCAAAGCGGATAAAGAAAGAGGAAGCTGATATGTCTTTTGCTGCTTCTTGTTCTAAAAAAAGAAAGCCATTTGTGTTGCCTCCAGATGCTCAAGTTATTTTGATTGATGATGATGTTAAAGAAGAAGTAGAAAGTGAAGAAAATGGTGGGTTTGTTGATGAAAAGCCGACTGTTATATGTTTAGATGAATCCGGTGAAAGTGATGAACAAGATTCAGATTCTGATGAACGTGAGGAAAATGATTCAAGTGATGAAGATTTTGACATAAATGAAGTGAATGAAGTTTCTGAGAGTGATGAAGATGGTTCATCATCTTGCTCTTCTTACGTGGATGAAGCAAATGCAAAGAGAGACGGTTCACAGAAATACTTGGATGTGGTGGGGGAGATGGTGAGAAAGGTAATGGATGATGAAACAAGTGGTATTTCAGAGAAGAAAACGATTAAGAATAGTGATGATGAGAAAAGTGAAACTTCAAAGAGGAAGAAAAAGGTTAAGAGTAGTGATCGTGAAAAAAGTGAAACTTCAAAGAGGAAGAAGAAGATTAAGAGTAGTGATGATGAAAAAAGTGAGATTTCAGAGAAGAAAAAGGTTAAGAGAAGTGATGATGAATCGGAGCATGAAGATGATGGTAGTGTAACAAAAACTACTAAGAAGGGTTTTATTCATCCAATGGAGGGTTGTTCATCTTCCTCTAATCTGAATGTAGCATCACAGACAAAAAAGGAAAAAAATGTCTCTGATGAAGGTATAGGTGATGGTGAAGCAAGTGGTTGTACGATTCAAACAGAAGAGAAAGTGATCAAGAACAAAGGAAGAGATTATAAAGGTAAAGCCACCATCCAAAATGAGAGGAAAAAGGCAACAGTTGCTGCTAACAAAGGTTTGAATCAGAAGGGCAAAAACACATTTTTTACGCGCAAGGAGTTGCGTTTATTCGAACTCCTTGCTGAATTCTACTGGGGAAACAAGGATAATACAGTTAAGAATGATTCAACTCCGTTAGAGGTGAAGAATGATGAAACACGGATACCGCCGGCTTCTGTGGAGACGCGTCCATTGATATGGAGCCTTAAAAAGAAGGAAGTAGTGCAGAAGAGTAAGGAGGAGGAGGAGGCGGCTCAGTTATGGGATGAACTGGAGAGATCACTGAGAGAAATGGAAGCCGAATCAATGGTAATCCTTCTTTTTAAGTTTGATTTCTGAACTTTAGGACTATTCCTTAAGCTGAGTTTAGGTTTTAGTATAAATTGTTTACTACCTGCAGATTGGAAAATATGAAACTAGTCATGAAAATTTGGGAAATCCATCCACTAGCTGTGAGCATGACCTTCGTCTCGACGAGGAGATCGGTGTATACTGCAGATTATGCCGCTGGGTCGAAACTGAGATTCGATATGTCTCCGAACAAGTAGTAAGCAGAGTTTCATGTTGATTTGCGTAAACTTTCTAGTGTTTTTCTCAAGATATGTACTAATGGATCACTATCTGCTACACCATGATAAGCATTGTTTGATGATAAGATGCACTGACTTTTGCTACATACAGGTGGATAAATTTCCCAATGAAGGTTCTAGAAAAAGAGCTTCATTTGATGATGTAAATGTGTCACATTTTGATGGATCACAGTTCAATTTTTTTGATAATTATTCAGATCAGTCAAATTTCTTTGATGATCAAGGCACTGTTTGGGAGCTGATACCTGATGTGAAGCAGAGCTTGTATCCTCACCAACAAGAAGGCTTTGAATTCATGTGGAAAAACTTGGCAGGAAGCATTGATCTTCACAAGTTAAAGAGCGCAGATACTCAAAGCGAGGGTGGCTGCATTATCTCGCACGCTCCTGGAACTGGAAAGACTAGGCTGACTATAGTCTTTCTCGGGACTTATCTGAAAGTTTTCCCGAAATGCTTGCCTGTTATAGTTGCTCCAGCGAGTTTGTTGCTTACTTGGGAAGAGGAGTTCAGGAAATGGGACATTGGAGTTCCATTTCATAATTTGGGCAATCTTGAGTTATCCGGTAAAGAGCATGCTGATGCCCTTAATTTGCTTGGTCGGTCTAATAGCGCGGATACAACCCGGATGGCGAAACTGATTTCATGGAACAAAGAAAGGAGCATTCTAGGAATCAGTTACAATTTGTATGAGAAGCTAGCCGGAGGAGGAGGAGGATCTCACGACAAGAAAAATGAAAAACAAGAAATTATGGGAAATGTTTTGCGTGAGAAACCGGGTTTACTCGTGCTAGATGAAGGACACACTCCGAGAAATCAGACAAGTGGTATTTGGAAGGTGTTGTCCAAGAGTCAATCAAAGAAGCGAATCATACTTTCGGGAACTCCTTTCCAGAACAATTTCTTGGAGCTGTATAACACTTTGAGCTTAGTGAAGCCTTCTTTTCCTAACACATTACCAGATGAGCTGAAAAAGTTTTGCCAGAAGCCGGAACAGAAAAAACCGACGAAAGAATGGATTTGGCAACCAGATTCAGCTTCTGATGATAAGATCAAGCAGTTGAAATTGCTTATGGATCCCTTAGTTCATGTTCACAAAGGTGCGATCCTTCAAAAGAAGCTTCCCGGGATAAGGAATCGTGTGCTGAGATTGAAACCGGATAGCTTACAAAAGCAAACGATTGAGAGCATTCAAAGTTCTCAGAGTAATTTCACCTTTGAGCATAAGCTGACAATGGCATCCATTCATCCGTCGCTTTTGCTCGAATGCGTTCTTTTGGAAAAAGAGGAATCCGTTCTGGACAAGGAGCAGCTAGAAAAGGTTAGATTGGACCCCAACAGAGGTGTCAAGACAAAGTTTCTGGTGGAGTTTGTTAGACTCTGTGATGCTGCAAATGAGAAAGTTCTCGTGTTCAGTCAATTCATCAAACCATTACGCTTAATTATAGACCAATTAAGCTTGGCTTATAAATGGACAGAAGGGAAGGAAATGCTGTTCATGGATGGAGAGGTTGATCTTCAGGGCAGGCAATCCATTATCGACAACTTCAACGGGACCAATTGTCAAGCTAAGATTCTACTTGCATCTGTAAAAGCAAATTCCGAGGGAATCAGCTTAGTTGGAGCGTCGAGAGTTGTACTGCTGGATGTTGTATGGAATCCGTCTGTGAAAAAGCAGGCTATCAGCAGAGCGTATCGGATTGGACAGAAGCGGGTTGTATACACTTACCATCTGCTCATTGAAGGTACTACCGAGTGCGTGAAACATTGTAAGCAGGCGGAAAAGGATCGATTATCTGAACTTGTTTTCCAAGGTAAGAATAATGATAATGATGAGTTGGAGAAGTGTGCTGTGAAGTTTGAAGACAGTGTTCTTGATAAAATGATACATCACAAAGAGCTCAAAGACATGTTTGTTGAGGGAGAAAGTTCAGCCAAAGGAGCGAGATTTCGTAAGAGTTTCGGCTATTAATTATTAATTATAGATTAGATGAATGTTAAATTTTCAGATATATCATATTTTTTTTAGGTGTTTTGTGATTATGTTTTGTTAGTACTAATGATGAATAAATGACTTGTTTAACAAGAAACATAAATTATAGAATGTTATGTCATAAGTTATCACTGTGATCTAATCTGAATTATGATTCTTGATTTTTCAGGAGATCTATAATTTGACTGAGAAAAGAAATGTGTGCAAGAGCATAGATAATGTGTAAAGCATGTTTGGATGAGCACAAAACATTATAAAATCTTGCTAACCTGTAACTACTACCTACTGTCATATGAGAGTGACATTTTTCATAGTTTATGAAGTCTTACTACTTTGTATTGATCTTACCGGTTGATCAGAACCTGCAAGTTGGTCGGAGGATGATATTTGACGAGCTGAAAAGTTGAGGAGAAGGGGGGGGGGGGGGGGGGGGGGAGGGGGGTACCTGTAAGACACTCTGACGATCAAGTAAGTGTGGGAGCAAAGAGATACAAACAAAGTATTAGGGTTTTCAAGATGAATATTAGATATTCGATATTAGATACCAGACTCTCACATGTGTGATGGTTTATATAATGTTCCCCCGGCACATAGTTATTGGTCCCTATTTTTGGGCCTAGATATGCGGGTACACAAAAATAGGTAACTGTGAGGACTGGGTCAAAACGGGCAGGTATGCTCGTAAGTAGCCATTTTTTTCGAGGAGGAGGATTACAGACAGATGACCATTTTGGTCGTTTCCTGGGTGTCTGCCCGACTCGTGTAGGGATGACGAGAGACATTCGCTGATCTGGTCAGGCGTGTATGTCGGCCATAACTGGTCATGCGCTCAGGGGCGTGACCGGCCAGAATGTTGGACCATTGTTGTTGGACCGTGCCAGAGGTGGAAGTGGATTGGGTCAATTCTAGTCATTGGGTCATTCCAGAACATGAGCCCCCAAGTCGTTATTCTTGGGCACATGAGTGATGACTTAGAATCATCCCGCAAAAATGGGGGTTCTTTTCAGTAGATTCCGTATGAGGAGTACGAGTGATGCTTGTCGTGTTCGTCTTGCAGGGAGAGGAACAATTGAGCGGTTTAGACGAGTTGTCGTGTCTCGAGGGGGCAATTTCGTACGAGGAGTCCAAAAACTGGTTGGTGTTCGTTTTGCAGAGAGAGGAATGATCGGTTGGAGTCTGGGGAGATTGTGTGTCACGTTTGTATCGAGCCACGTGATTTCAGAGAGGTGTGATGATGGCTAGCCTATGGATTAGAGCGTGATGATGATGCCTTTTTGGGTTCCTTAGGTGCGTGCTCTGCCACGCGCTGGTGAGTCTAGTCTATAAAAAGGGGGGAGAGAGCTCCATACATACTTTTCGCTTGTCTTTCAGCTGCTCGATACCTTCGTTCTTGCTCGACTTCATCCGTCTTCAAGATTTTCGTTTGTTCCACCGTTCTCCGCTGTCTATTCCCGTCGTTTCTTCACTTAATCCGGTAAGTTTCTTTGATTCCCCTTGTTTTTATGATTATCACTTCCATTATAGTTTAGATTTTAAGGTTTTTCCTTAGAAAATACATGCGGTTAGGGTTTAGGGTTATTGATTTCTTAGAAATTATGGTGAAATGTTGGCTGGAGACGGTGGTTCTAGCGGGTGAGGCCGTCAAAGATACCAAGTGTCCTCCCCATGGGTGTTTTTGGAACCTCAGTGGTGTTAGAAGAACGTAGGAAATTTTTATATGAATCCAACTGGCTTGGTCGGGGAAGGGAGATCGTCTAGTAGTCATTTAAGTCAGGGCTCTGGTCGGGGATAAAGTCCTCGTTCCTTGGCGCCCACTCACTTGATTAGTGGTGGAAGGGTGAATTTGACGTTGACTTAGAACTCACTTTTATCCTCTGCTTTTCAGGTACAATGACTACTAGCGCCGACAACGAGTTTACCAATGAACCTAGTGGTTCTTCCCAGAGTTCTGTCGAGAGTACGTCCGGCGAGGCGAGCACCTCAGGGGCGTATGAGTCCTCGCCGGGAGAACTGGAGCCAGAGATTCCCGATAATCAGGATGCTGCTGGGGACATGGAGGTGGCTCCTGTCGATCAAGAGGGTCCCAGCGTGCCTGTGGTCGAGAAAGGTCCATTGGGTTGGGTTACGTCGGGCCTCTTGAGGTATGTCTCCAACTTTATTGAGCATCCTGGCGAGATATTCACCTCGTTGGATCCAGAGATGGACTGAGAGGGTGCTAAAGAGCAACGGGAAATCTACATACCCAAGAAGAGGAGCCGGATCTGCTCGCAGTTTGAATCTCTTCAGTTCCCTATGTACGAGATCATGTTCAGGGAGATGGGTTTGCGGCTCCCTTTCTCGGACTTTCAAGTGGAGGTCTTTAGGCATCTTCGTCTGGCTCAGTCCTAGCTGGACTTGAACTCGATCGCCTTCCTTCAGGCTTTCGAGATCGTGTGCGGCTATTTGGGCGTCGGGGCCACCGTTCCTTTATTCTTCTACTATTTCTATCTTTAGAGGCAGACGTCTGGTGCCCAATATTGTTGGGTTGCTCTGAAGCAGGAGAACGACAAGCTATTCAAGGCGTACTTGGAGTCAGTCCACTTTTTTAAGGAAAAATACATGCTCGTTCAGCCCGTCTCGGAGAGGGCGCTGCTGAGTGTCTTCCGAGTTGCCCCTGCATACGACGAGGAAGGGGATCCTGTTTTTACCGAGGAGGGAAAACATGCGGACAAACTGGTGCCCAAGTTTCCTTTTCACTGGATCGGTAAGCATTATGAAAGGGGGACTAACGTCTATGTTTGGAAGAAAGATCAGCTCGGTGCCGAGGACATAGCCAACTTTGATCATTTATGTGTGTTTTTTGCGGGGTTCCCTTCGGTCCAGCGCGCGGGCAGAGGGGGGAAGCCAGTTGTTAATAAAAATGGCTATGAGATCTACGACCAGGGTTTGATAAGCGGTAAGGAGCTCCTCGAGAGTGAGGCCCATATGGTGTATCTTGGTAGTCATCTTATGATTTGATTTTCTTTGTTTGCACGACACATATATTCTTCTATTTTGCTGATTATTCTTTGTTGTTTCCTTGCAGATAAGATAAATCCCGCCTAAGAGCACTGGCTAGGACAGTCGCTTTCAACCTGAAGAAGGCATATAAGGGTGTCAAGGCTTCCTCGCCCGACACGGGCCCTATGTCAGGATCGAACGCTTCGTCAATATGGCAGCCAGTCGGGGCTCTTTCTCCTTTGCAGGTGTCCTTAAGGCATAAGAGACAGCGCAACGAGGGTGCTATGGATCTGGCTGGGGACATGGAGAAGGGAAAATATGAGTTGCCCCCTTGCTGGCATGACACGTCCTTCTTCGAGGGTTCTTCTCTCTATCTTCTTTGGGGCGAGTCCCTTCTGCTCGAGGAGTTAGACCACCTGACCAAGAGGATAGCATTATCTCAGGATGTCGGGGTTGTCATGAGGGTCTTGAAGATGGTTGTGGCGTACACTGAGGGGGGGGGGGTACTTCCCTGGAGGTCAAGGTGAGAAAGATCCAAATGAAGTTGGCTGAAGCGGAGAAGGAATATGCTGATGAGAAGACTGTCCGAAAGGTAGCAAATGATAGGCTGGAGAAACTCTCCAAGGATCACAAGGCGCTTTTTCTCAAGAAGAAGACTTTTGACAAGCAAGTGGCGACCTTGACGGCTGAATTTTCTCCTGCCGAGGATGAGCCGAAAGAGGCCAAATGCCTGAAGACCCGAGCTGATCTGGTTGCTCGTCTACAACTGGCGTTAGATGATGCTCTGGCCGCTTCCGAGGGGAGCTTTGATAAAACAGTGAAGCAGCTTCGGGTTCTGAACCCTGCGGTCAAGTTGAATGTGATCGGGATGGGTCTCCACTATTATGTGACAGATGGATAGATCGTAATCCCTGAGTATCTTAGAGGTGTCATGGATGTTCCCGTTGGAGAGTCGTCGCATCAAGAGCCCGTTAGCAAGGAGAAGCCCCATCCAGATACTTGATTGCTTTTTGTTATTTCTTTTTTCTGACTTACGTGCCGTATTAATGTAATCTCATTCTTCGGGTCCTAGCCCATTTTATTTAATTTCAAACAACTGTGGTCCTCGCGGCCACAAATTTTTGTTGGATGGAGGGCCAAGGGCCTCCCTTTTTGTAAAATTTTCCTAATTGCAACCTTAATGGTCGTATATTAAATTTCTGACCGCGGTGATCGTTTGCTTTAATTCGCACATGATTGTGTTACTTTCATATATGAAGTGTTTTGCATGTTCATTGTATGCTCGTCTGCTTGAGACACTTTTTTATTGGTTAAGAGTTTTCAGTGCGGATTCGTTTGTTAGTTATTGAGTTTTCCAGTGTGGGGAGACCGGATAAACGGCCAAGATGATTATCGGGCATGAGCCAGAACTTAAGTCTTGTTTCGAGGACCTGAGCTCGGCGGCATGAACTTCCCATCGTGATTTGGGCGTTCTGTCAGCGTGGTACAATGATGATGGAGATTGGTTGAGTTATCCATGTCGGGCTGAGGGTCCGCTCGTCAAAAGAGTGGAGTCTCGCCCTTTTAAATAATTTTTGAGTGCCATGCTTGTACCTAGGCATGCACGTGTGGTCGGGCCTGAATGAGTTCGTCTTATCGACGATGCTCACCGACTGTTTAGTGTTTTAACTATAATATTATTTTAGCTTTTCATCGTTCCATGGTCGAGCAAGTTGTTCCCCTTGTAGATTTTCTAGGCAGTACGCCCGGGTCCCTGTTCTTGCGTAGACGCGATAGGGACCTTCCAAGTTTGCTACGAGCTTGCCTTCACGAGATTCTTTATGATTTCTCTTTAAGACAAGGCTTCCGACCTCGAACTCTCGTCGTATGACTTTGGTGTCGTAGCGCATGGCTAATTTTTGTTTGAGAGAGGCCTCTCGTAGGGCCGCTCCTGTTCGGATTTATTCGACCAAATCTAGTTCTTCCCGGAGGGAAACATCGTTCATCTCCTCGTCTAGGGGAGCTTCAGTTCGCCTGGATGGTTCCTCGATCTCTATGGGGATGACGGCCTTTGTTTTTTAAGCTAGTCGGAAAGGAGTCTCCCTGGTGGATGAGTGCGCTATTGTTCGATAGCCCCAAAGTATGTTGTGCAGCTCCACGACCCATCATTTCTTGGTTTCGTCTAACCTTCGTCTGAGACCCCTGAGTATCACCCTGGTCAC